GTGGGCTCTTTAATTGTTTGCCAATAATCAATAACACCTTTAAATGAACGTTTTAAATATTGTTTCCATACTGGCAAATGACTATATTCATCCAATACCACATTTCCTTCTTGATCTAATTCTGATGTACCCCAAGCAAGTACAATGTAACTTAATGTACTTACCAGCCACACGCCAAGAAAATAAGCGGTATATTTGAGAATTCGAACACCATGAGTGGTTCGACTAGTAAGTTCTTTTTGTTCATCTGATACAGTCTTATCTGACGAAGTTTGCTGCTCTTTATCGCTAGGCGATGATTTCTGTGAGTATACAAATGGGATTTTTGTTACTGATGGATCATTTGGAGTGTCATCAATAATGGTTTGAGTTGCTGTAGAATTTTTAACGTTTTGAAAACAAAATGAAGAAAATGAGAATGTTCGTTTATGAGGAATAAGGGAAAAATTTAAATTAGAATAACGATGTTGTTTTCTGAAAGAAAATAAACAAACTGTCCATTCAGATCTTGCAATTGTTGCTTTTGATGAAAATAGTAGTCGTTGTTGTAATAGAAATGGAGAGTTTATTGATTGATTATTGATAACACGCCGCAGAAGCCAGCAACCATGACAAAGAATTTTTCTGTTTGAATGAAACATTGTAAAGAAAAATCTTAAACAAAAAATAATTCTACTCAATTGAACTGACACCAGCAAAATATTTACTAATGCATGCGATGCAATGTTAATTGCAACAGCATATTTCACAAAATCACCTTGCTTCTAGTTACATGATATTATTCTAGAAATTCTTGGTAGCAATTTGCCAACTAAATACCAAGTACCAACCAATGTTTACTTTTTGATTTGACATACAAAAGTATATAATTAATTTTCATTTGTGATATTAAAAATAATTAAGAAACAAACATAAAAAATGATCAGTATCATAAATTCATAGAAAAATTATCAGAAAGAGCAGCAATAATTAATAAATAAAAGTTACAGATCAATAGATAGAACAA